TGTGGCGCCCCAAGCACCAGCTTGTTTTGCTGGTGCCTAGAGCCGTCCCTGGCTTCACGGAAAGATTTCCATTGGCTTCAAAATGAGCTTTGGATCGGGTGCGTATCCTGCCATCACTACTCTAGTTCTGACTATAGCCTGAGCCATTTTTCACATGATTTCTTTTTAAATCAGTTGTTCCACCCTCTCTTTGTGCAGAGCTGTTTATCTCTGACGCAAGGTAACATTGACTGGGGCATGTATACAGCTACTGTTCCTAAGCACTAACCTATGTAGAATTCCCTATGTGGGAAACCGTACCTTAGCCATTTTCTGGAGGAAATATTGTTTTCCATTTCTGCGAGTAAGTGCAGCTTGCTATAGTGAACAAAGCAACTAAACTCTGCCCCTGGGCAAAATTATTTAAATCCAGAATGTCCACAGCAAATATTTGTGCAGTCAAGGGAGTTTCTTGCCTGCAATAAGTGTCATTAGCATTTGTTTCCATTTATTAATTATTATTTTGCAGTCAACAAGAGACTGAAAATGCTTTGTGTGTTCATGAACTTCAGTGCTGATTATCTCTCAGAAGCACACCCACTACTGAATATCAACCCACTTCCAAAATCTCTTTCAGCAGTACTGGAACACTCTGTTCCTGATCAGAAGATTATCAACAAATCTTCCCTTTTCTAATGAAACAACATTGCCTCTTTTGTGGTAACGGACTTATGCATTGTCTAATCAACACAACAAGTGCCCTGAGCTTCAGTTTAGTGACACAATACATGGTTCTGGTACGCATGTTGAGTACAGCTGGGTGTTCACTGAAAAAAATGCTGATTCTTTGCAACCAAATCTTGTCACGGCAAAGGGTCCGTTTAAGCAAAATTCTTGACTTGAAAAATGTTTGGAAAAGATTTTGAGATGGTCGAAACGTGCTGTTTTGACATTTTCGTAACAATAAATTCTGGTTTTCCAGTTCAAAATTACTTTTCTCCTCCCCCCTCCCCCCCAAAAAAATTTTTTTAGCTATCTATAGTTTTAAAAAATTTAAAAAATAAAAAATGGTTGAAATCAAAATGAAACATTTCAAAATGAACTCTTTATCTTTTTCTTCTGCATTTTTGGTTTGCAAAAATTTTCAAAGTTTTGACTTTTGTCCCAATTTTGGATGGGAATTTTTTTTTTTTTTTTTTTTGTTGAAATCTTGAAACTTCTCAAGAGATGGGACAACTGTTTCCTGCCCAGCTCTAATGTTGAGCTCTGAAATGGACAGATTCAATTCCGTTTCCATGTCCAATCACTGAAAGAGATGTGAAAATTATAGAAATGTAGGGCTGGAAGGGACCTCACGTCCAGCCCCTTGTGCTGCGGCAGGACCAAGTAAACCTAGAACATCCTTGACAGGTGTTTGTCTAACCTGTTCCTAAACACCTCCAATGATGGGGATTCCACAACCTCCCTTGGAAGCCTGTCACACAGCTTAGCTGCCCTTAGAGTTGGAAAGTGTTTCCTAATCCCTAACCTAAATCTCCCTTGCTGCAGATTAATCCCAATACTTCTTGTCCTACCTTCAGAGGACATGGAGAACAACTGATCACCATCCTCTTTAGAACAGCCCTTAACATATTTGAAGACTGTTATCAGGTCCCCCCTCAGTCTTCTTCTCTCAAGACTAAACATGCCCAGTTTGTATGTTTTTTTAACCTTTCCTCATAGGTCAGGTTTTCTAAACCTTTTATCATTTTGGACTCTCCACAATTTGTCCACATCTTTCTTAATGTGTGACACCAAGAACTGGACCCAGTACTCTAGCTGAGGCCTCACCAGGGCCAAGTAGAGCAGGACAATCACCTCTCATTTCTCACAAATTTATCCCTCACATTTTGTACTAGTAATAATTTGCACTAATATGGGGCCAGTATGTTCCACCCTTACTCAGGCTGAGTAGTATCTTACTGCAGAATTAATAGTTGAAGTTAATGAGACTATTGTGTGTGAGTAATTGCTCCTCAGTGCAAATAAGGTATTTACAATCCAGCTCCTGCTGCCATAGTTGCCCTTATATAAATCGATGGTACACCCACATCTTGAATACTGCATACAGATGTGGTCTCCTCATCTAAAAAAAGATATACTGGCACTAGAAAAGGTTCAGAAAAGGGCAACTAAAATGATTAGGGGTTTGGAACGGGTCTCATATGAGGAGAGATTAAAGAGGCTGGGACTCTTCATCTTAGAAAAGAGGAGACTAAGGGGGGGTATGATAGAGGGATATAAAAACATGAGGGATGGGG